GTGTATTTTTTAGCTACATAACTGTATGTGGAGGGGAAATACATTGAAGATTAGAGTCACGTGATTTGAAAATATTTAATAATAGACCAAAGGTAAGATTTTCCCCAAGTGGATATATTGCTTGAGGATGAAATCCTTAACCTACATCCTTTCTTTTTATTGTGGTGGACAAATGAAGTGTAATGGGGGTTAAAGCATATTATGTATGATCCCATTATCCCAAGACTGGAATAATGGGATCATTTTTTGATTAATTTGGGTTGTGAGTTTTGACATGGTACAGCTGGGCAGTATTAGAAAACTGACAGTGACAGCAATTAAATTTCCCTACAACAGAAAAGAATTACAACCTCTCACCATGATTAAGAAGGGGACAATGTGGTTCTTTGTGTGTGTTCCCTGTTTAGATTACCTTAAATGATTTATTGATCAAACACCAGTTGACTCAAAGTCTAGACACCGTGAGAACTGCTGCGATCAGGATTAAATGAGCTCCTCACTTTTGTCTGCAGGGATCAAAAGCGCAGAAAAAACATCTAAAAAAACGGACACATGTTTCATCAAACATTGTCAGATATATATTTGTAAATTCCAACAGTTTAACTTCCAGGTTTATCATTTCCTCTACATGATAAGAAGGTAAAACTGTTGTCCCGCAGCTCAGCCTGGCACGTAGACACTAGATTCATGGCGCAACAATTAATCCATATATGGGCACGTACAGTTGGTGCCACGCCCAGAACACCTCCTAGTTTGCGGGCTTGCTGTGTCCTGTGGTCGTCCTGCCCCGCTGCAGGAAGTTCAGGAACTCGGTCACCGCCCCAGCACCCCCCTCCCCTCAGCCTCATCCATTGTTGGGCAATAATCTGCGACATCGAAACAATCTTGACCGAAACTTTTCAGGTAACTAGCTGCTGGAGATCACTCTTGGTGATCTCTTGTATCTACTTTTCGACAGTTCTTCGTGAAGAAGTACCGTGCGCGGTTATAGGATCGCAACTCAACTGAGGGAGGAAAAGGGAGGAAAAGTTTTGAAGCAAGGAACTCCGTAATTCCCATTCCTCCATTTTGAACTTTTAAACTATTGTCCGTGGATTGTTTCCAGTAAGTTTACAACGTTGCCTTTCTACTCTGTGTGTCATATATAATAGGTCATTGGACAGCGCACTTACACGATGGTTCACGCGTGTCGCAGCATTAAATAAGGCTAATCGAGATAGCGTAAATGTTTGTTGTGTCGGCTAGCATTAGCATTAGCAAGGTGCCGTGTTTGGACCCCTATACGTTAGCAGGTAACGTGAACGTTAAGATAAATAAGCTCAAGTGTTACACTATTACTAAGAAAACGACTGTTTAAAATCGGTTAATTTAGTCAACAGCTATTTAACCCGCATAGTCTACTCGTTTACTTATTTACGTGTCATTTAACGTTAACGTTGCTTTAGTTCGTGTGGTAAAACCAACGTTTATGTTATAAAGTTAGCTAACGTTGCAACAGGTGCAACTTAAGCTACTTAACGTTAGCATTACCCGTAGGTATTACCGCCCAGCTAACGTGTGTGAGGAGTCCACACTGTTGCCTCTCCACTAGTAATTACTGTTAGCTTCAACGGGTTATTATTCTATTTAGGGCGTTTCTATTTCGGGAAGGACATTTCAGTTATCATAAACTAACCCATTGTGCTGTTGCCCCTTGATACAAATGATTTTATGTCAATTTGATGAGAGAGTTGAGGTTTATTTTACTCAAATCACATGCAAGTATCGTAACCCCTCAGGTAGTTTTGGTTTCATCTGAACAGATTTTGAGATATCTGGCTGAGAGACTTGTGCCACACCCATACAGAGGAGGTGAGAGGAAGTCACATGTCCCCGCGATCGTTAGTTTGAATAATCCACCAACCAATTCTAGTTGAGACAGTTTCTCAGACCTCCGCAAATGCCACCAACACGATCTGCATGGCTAGACAATATGTTGAGGTGTGAAGTGACATTTAGCATTATAGTGGAGGAGAAACCTTGCAGTGGTTGTAAGTACTTAAAGTTTAAAGTCTCTGTGAGTTGGAGGGAAGTGCTTCTAGATTTATGTCCACGATGAAATGAAAAGATGATCGGCATCCATCCTTACTGGCTGGCTTTTTTTGGATTAAAAATTAAAAGGGACCATAGATCATAACAAGTATACCTCATCCAAATGCAGGCATTACGCTGAATTTGTAGGCTAAATTGAAAGCACACCCTTTTTATAAATATCAGTTCAATATAATAACATTATGTTGTCATCGTTCATCGTCCTGTTGTTTTTCATATGTTAGCCTCTTTGTTGACTATGTAGGTTAGTGGCTAGCTAGACATTCTTCTCATAATACAGCTGACCAACATTTCAGTTGAGGCCCCTCTTCCCTCAGGGCCGGCTGAGTGTTGGCCCCTCCCTCTTGGACAGCTAATCAATGGAGTTGCACTCGCTGCCTGAAAAGAAAAGAAATAATCGAAATTGGGCCACAGTGTTACTTTTGTCTTTCATTCTGCGAGGGCTAGAGCGTTGTTGTCCCAAAGAAAGACCTTTATGACAAAGATGTCCATGTTTGGTGCAGGCTAAATTTGATTTCATCGTTGCATCCGAAGACTGAAATTGACTCGGCCCCGGTCATCTATTTCAACTTTTTTTTTCTTGTTTCTTTTTCTGACGTTGCCAATTTTTTTATGTCCAGAATTCCAGACACCATGACAAACATCAACACCGCTAACATCAACTTTAAATGGGACCCAAAGAGTCTAGAGATTCGTACTCTGGCTGTGGAGAGGCTGCTGGAGCCCCTGGTCACACAGGTAATGTAAACACAGTGTGCATCTTTTATTTAGAATAACAGGACGGGGCCAGATAGCTCGTAGGTGGAATGACCGCGGGGTCTTGGTTACAATAAGTACTATAAAATACATGAATATAAATGTAACGCTAGTAGCAAGTGACACGTTATCCCAGAGCTGCCGCTTCAGTTAATGAACCTGTTGTGTACCCCTGACGCAGGTCACCACTTTGGTAAACTCCAGCAACAAAGGCCCGTCCAACAAGAAGAAGGGCCGCTCCAAGAAGGCTCATGTTTTGGCGGCGTCGGTGGAGAACGCCACCCAGAACTTCCTGGACAAGGGAGAAAAGATTGCAAAGGAAAGTCAATTCCTTAAGGATGAGCTTATTGCCGCCGTGGAAGACGTCCGCAAGCAAGGTATAGTGAAAATGCATATTGCAACAGTGTGTGGTTCCCAGCGTGTACAGAGTGCTTCTTAAGATAGGAGGTCTGATAAATAAGTCATAAGCGATGTACACATCCTCTGCCCCGGTGGAAGACCTTGAAATAGGAATATGCTTTGAGCCTGATAGATTTTGCTATGGGGGTATTTAGGAGGCCTATTAATAGAGACTTTTCTTTTAGGCATGCAAACGGTTAACATTTTATACCCACAATACCCTGTCATCACCTCGCCCACTCCAAGAAATCACAGTTTATATTGCAACGCTAAGCCTGGACCTGAACCCGGTAATAAGCCGCCTCTGTGTTTTACAAACGCAAACAAGCTCAAACAAAAGTTATGTATGTAGTCTAACCAGTTAGCTTAGTTAGCCATGTAGCTTTGATTTGATTTGATTTTTGGCAATATTTTGTAAACTTCCCCGCTGGCTGAGACAAAGCAGCCCCCCCCCCCACCACCACCACCACCACCACCACCAACGGTCCCTGCCGGCAGTGAATCCCATCAGCAGAGGGACGGGGTGAATGAGTGATACTCACTGATGTCTGTTTTTCAATCTTTCTAAACTTCACTCAGTATCGTGTTGCCAGCAATATTATCCATTTAAAATTTGTGTCCATGCGATATTATTTAAGTTGATATTGTAACTTTGCTGCTGTGAACATCACTGTTGCTGCTCTAGAAACGGACGCAAATATTCAGTAAAAAGATCGATAAGAGTATCTGTTCAGAACTGAACCGATAAGGAAGGTCAGTAACAGTAATGGTGATCAAATCCTAACGATACCCAACCCTAGCATTGACAAATGTACAGTTAATATTACTTATGTTTTTGTTTTACATGTTTTAAGGGATTCTTTCTGATGCAATGTACAATGCATGAATTGAATGTAAATCTGAAAATGAAATCGTTGACATCCCCGATACTGAGTGAAGTTTAGAAAGGACTGCTGGACTACATACACACAGCTTTTGTTTTAGCTTGATTGTAACAAGTGTGTGTGTGTGTGTGTGTGTGTGTGTGTGTGTGTGTGTGTGTGTG